ATGCTCACAGCTATCCTGTGGATTGGGAGATGGGGTGGGGGTATTCATGGGATGTCTGCAGCCCTCCTCACTGTGAACATAGCCACTGGGAGGCCAGCCTCACAGGCAGCAGTTGTCCCCAGTAGGAGGCAGGTGGACTCTGGAGAAGCCACCGGACAGGTACACAGGACAGCAAGGTTGGAAGCTCTCGAGCAGTCAGGGGACAGTGGGAAGCCAGGCGGTGCTGCCTCGTCACTAGCTACTGCCGGCTGCACACTCACAGTCCCGACCAGAACCCAGCGGACTGCTGGGTGCCCGAGTGGCATGGCCCTTCACTGTTCAGCATTGCACAGCACTCACAGAATAGGAAGAGGGCAAAATCTCACTGTCATTTATGTGGAACTCAGAGAGCCACCAGAGCCCAGCAGAGGCCCTGCGGCGCCTGTGACCAGATGTGCAGAGGGCAGCTTGCCGAGGTGGGGAGTACCGATAGCCCCCACGCCCTCATCATCCCAAGCCGCACGGCTCCCCCGGAGAGAAGGGAAATTACCGGAGAGCACACTGGTGTCAGGAGTGCGCCAGGGCTGCCCATGTGAAAAACACACTTGTGGATTGCCTGAGGCTTGAAAACAGAAGGCCATGTTGATTTTTAAAAACATGAGAAGAATACCACTCCACACCCACCTGCCGGATGAGTTACACGTGCGTCCATGTACCACCAATTGCTGAGGCAGGGTCTGCTCTACTTCTAGTTCACAGCTTGCTAACAAGCACTGAAATATCAGAATCATATCACTGATTCATTTGGGTATGACCTCACTCTCACTGAGCAGCTGTCTGATAAGTGGGCCTCCCGAGTAGCCTTGGCTCGGGGATAGGGAGCGCTGGTTAACAGAAAGGAGTATTGAGTATCACACGTCAGGGGAAAACGTCTAGCAAAAAAATGGTACCACATCTTTTGGGAAAGATTTCAGTATGGAAGACTATTCTGTGTCTGTCTTATTCTATCGATGGTGATGCTATTGGTCAGGAATACCTGGGGCACATCTGGGCCCCTACCACTCACCTGGTCCCTGACACTCACCTGGCCCCTACCACTCACCTGGCCCCTACCACTCAGGCAGTCTCCCACCCAACCCCTCCCAGAGCCAATGTTGCGTCTGGACCAGCCCTTGTGGTTTTTATTTTGACTGCAGGATGCACCTAAGCAACAACCATCAGGGAACTTTGGAATAATAAGTTTTGTCACTCACAGGTCCTGGGGGGTGCACTGCACCCCCGGGGCCACACAACTCCAGGGTCATAGGTCAGAGAGAGAGAGAAAGTGCACACAGACCTGGGACTCCTTTTTTATTGGGGTTGAGGTTGGGGTTCCTAGGGTGTCATAGATTCGCTCTCTATTGGCAAGTGTAAGACCTAAAGCAGGAATGAAGTCACAGGGGAGACATGTAGGGTCACTCAGTTATCTAGATCGCCCAGGGCTTTCTGAAAGGGGAACCCTGGGCAGATCAGCCTGGCTGTTTTCTGGTTGTGCAGCTGTCGATAATTTACTGGAGACGGATGTGTTGGAAGCGCTTCCTGGGCCATCAAAGTACAACCAGAAAAGCTTAGTGTCAGGCGTTGACACTACAACCAGAAAAGCTTACTGTCAGGTGTTGACACTACAATCGGAAAAGCTTACTGTCAGGTGTTGACACTACAAAGACCTAAACACACGGGGAGACGCATCCTGTCCATTATTAAAAAGATAATGCCATGAGGTGTCCTATCTCCCGAGTCTACAGTCTACACTCAGTTCAGTTTCAACAGCAATCTCAGCAGCTTTTTACAGAAGCCTGACGAGCTGACTGTAAGAAGCATGAGCATGAGCAAAGGGTCAAGGAAGCCAGGGGCCCCTGAAGAAGGAAAGGAGAGCCCTCGCTCTCCCAGCTGTTGGTGTTTTCTAAAGTATGTGCAGCCTAGTCGAGTAAAATAGAATGGGATAGGGACAGGCAGGGCAGAGAACCCATGCGCTATGGGAAGTGCACTTGGACTTTGCAGAACCCTACGCGTGAGTGGGCGGCAATACAGAAAGCCACAGGGAGAAAATGCGATTGGATACTTACGTGTGAAACTATACACAGAAGTCAAGTCCCGGAGATTAGGCCCTAAGGGTGAGAGAGCAATGCCCGGGGCCTGGATCCTAGGGACAGGGAGGGCCTCGGAAATATGACGAGGAAAGATTAAAAGGTGGATACATTTGACTAATTAAAAGTAATGTGTATCAAAAAAAAAGAACAAATTGAAATCGCCACCAACTTGAAGAAGATATTTGCAACACACAGGTCAACAAGCACATGTGTCAGAATATATAAAGAAAACAGGAATCAAGTGGGGAAAAAACATAACCAGATTTCACAAATAAGACATAAGCAAAGCCCAAAATTATCTCGGTTATTGACTCCTGCCGGGAAGCTAAACCACAAAACAAATCATGCACTGATTGTCGTAAAATCCAGGGACCACCTTGTGGGGAGGAGGCGGTGCATGGGGGGCCTTGAAGGTTCTTACATTTTACTCTGTGTTAAGCTCAGTGGTTGAACACACGTGCTTGCTTTATTATTTTTCAACTGTTACAAATACTCTTTTACACCAAAGCAAGGGTAAGGATAGCAATGTGCATTAGCAAAGAAACTTCCAGACTTGCTGGCAGCACTCTATGTCATTTGAGAGACCATTCTGGCTTCTGCCTGTCAAGGCCTCTGATGTAAGTGTGTCGTTTTGCTTGTAAGACCTGGCAGGATGGCTGTTGCAGGGGCTCCTGCAAGATGCTTTGGGCCAGCCCCACTTAGGGGAGAGTCCCAGAGCGTGCCGTCCCACTAGAGGACGCCTTCCCGGCCAGCACTGGCACACCTCTGCAGCTCACCCCGGTTGCGGTGACACCTGCATACAGGGCCCAGTTTCTAGAGCAGCTGGGAGTGAAGCATGTAGCCTTGTTGGCCAGGTTGCCAGATGTGATGTGTGTGCAGATTCCCGGGCTGGGCTGTGGGGCAGGTGTGTGGTCTGCCTGCCTTCAGGTTCTCCAGACACAATTGCAACAGGTGAGCTTTTTGGTTCCTTAAAGCAAACTGGGTTGGGCCTCACCTGTCCTGTGGAACCCTTCTTGTCTAGGTGGCAGATGCCACTAGGTCCTGTGCAGACTCCTGCAGCCAGGGACATGAGTCTCCAGGACAGCACGTGCCCTCCCACCGCTGTGGCTGCTGCTGAGGTAGCTGTCCCTCCTCACCTGCTCCAACTTGAAACCCTATAGCATGCTAGGAAGTCTCACTCCACCCTCCTGCAGAGACATGCACTCCCCAGGGGATCTCACCAACCATGCTTCGTGTCACATCTGTATGCTGCTGACTTAGAAGTCACAGCCTCACCTGGGGTGATTCTCTTATTTGCTTAGACCCCCTGTGTCTTCCTGGCTAGCTCAGAATGAAGGTCAAAGCCCTTCCAGTGGCTGTGAGGCCCTTTTTGTCTGGGCTTTGCCTCTGCTCTCTGCCCTGTACAGTGACACTGCAGCCTGGACTCTCTCTGCCTTAGGACCTTGGCACCCGCAGCACCCTTCCCTGCGATGCTGGTCCTCCTGACAGCACGTGGGTCTCCTGAGTTAGACCTTCCCAGATGCCTCTTTTTCTATCCACCTGCTTCTCTCTTCACAGCTTGTCTTTCTCTGTAGCACCTATAGCCACCTCACCGGTCACCTGTCTTATGTGTATTTGTCTCTGTCCTCTAGGACACAGACGTCCATCCCTTTGTTCTCCATCCACCTGAGTTTTCTATTGCTGCCCTGACAAGCCGTCACAGACGTAGCAGTCTGAAAGCACATGTTTATTAATTAACTTTATTGTGGTCATCATTTTGCAGTATATACATATGTCAAATCATTATACAATGTTACATGTCAATTATAGCTCCATAAAGCTGGAAAAAAAGGAAACAATAAAATAACACATTTGTTATCTCACAGTTCTACAGGAATGAAATGCCGTGAGTCTGTGTTTTTCTTCTCTGGGCCTGAGGCCGAAAGCAAGGCGTTGACAGGGCTGCGTCCTTTCTGGGGGCGAATCCACGTCCATCCTCACCCAGTTGTTGGCAGGACTCATTTCCATGTGGCTGTAGGACTGAGGTCCGGTTTCCTTGCTGGCTGTCACCCGGGGGTCATTTTCACCTTCTAGGCTGCCTGCGCTCCTTGTATCGTGGCCCCTTCCTTCCTCTGCGAGGCCAGCAATGGTGGTCGCTTGCATTCCTCATGCTTTGCATTTTTCTGAGTGTGTCTGCCTGGCTCCCGCTGGAGAAAGTTCTCTGTTTTTAAGGTCTCAAGCGATTATACCGGGCCCATTGGGACAACACAGAATAATCTCCTGACTTAATTCCATAGCCTTAATTCCATTTGTAGTGCCTTTCTTTTGCCTTGAAATGTAACAATCCAGGCAGTAGCATTCACAGGCATGATACCAGGAGCCAATGTCCTGCCTGCCACACCACCTTTCCACGAGGACAGCACTGGACAGCAGGATGAGTGGCTGTTGCGAAGCGGGACCTTATAGTGGCTGCTGAAGGCCGGTGCGGCCCCAAGTGCTATGCACAGTGTTGTTATGCAGCTTCTGTCACGACAGCAGGAGCCCTGAGAAGCAGGTGCTATTACTACCCCATTCTACAGGTGGAAGAACTGAGGTACCAAGTGTATGTGACTTGCCCAGTGCCAAAGAGCTGGGGCAGCCCCAGGCACTGTGGTCTCAGGGCCCATGCGAAAGTGACCCTGAAAAGAAAATACACACTAGACAGTGCTGGATGCTGGTTTCTGTGTGCTGTGACCTTTAGAAACGGAAAGGACCTGAACTGGGGTGGCCTCTGCCCGGGCCTGACCACCCTGCACACTCTGTCATTTAACTTCGACTTTGCAATCATCTCTCTTGCTTCTTTTATAAACACCTTTGGTTGTACCATGCTGCGAATAATGCCATGTTTGTGCCACTTTCTATCCCTCTATACAGATGCGTATCCTAATTCTGAAGTCGTCTATGTTTGGACCAATGGCACCACCAAGTCGGTGGTGGTAGCAGAAGATGGCTCCAGGCTGAACCAGTACCACTTGATGGGGCAGACGGTGGGCACGGAGAACATCAGCTCCAGCACCGGTAAGGCCTGGCTTGTGCAGCACCACCCTCTGGGGGGAGCCTCCCAGCCCCATGCCTGAGTGGGCACCACCCATGCACCTGGGTGAGGCCTGGCACCCACCGCGCCACTGTCTTGGGGGGCCCAGAGGCTCCAGCCCCATGCCTGAGCGGTCAGCACCCATGCACACAGGTGAGGTCTGGCACCCACAGCGCCACCGTCTGGGGGAGCTCAGGGCTCTAGCCCCACACCTGAGCGGGCACTGCCCACACACACATGCCATCCTGCCCACCTGCTCTCCCCTTATGCTCCGGGGCACAGCTGTTAGGCAGTGCTGGCAGCCAGGAGCCCTCTGAGTCAGCCCCCCTTCCCTGCAGTTGTGCTCCATGAACCAGCTGCGGTGACCCGCGGCATTTAGGGTCACACAAGGTATTAATATGCGGTGTGTTTTCCCCTGTGACCATGATGGCAGGCCCTGCCCGGAGGTCACATGGACCTGTTTATGTAACACAGCCCCTGCCCTTAGCCCTGAGACACACAGGTGGCAGTCTCTGCAGGAAAGGTTGCTGGTTTCCTGCAAATACTCCCATTTACCTGCTCCCCTACCTCCTGCTTTGAACAGTTCAGAGAAGATTTCCCAGGGGCTGAGCTTTGGAAAGCACACGCCAGCAGCATAGAAATAGAGGAGGCCTTACGAGGAGGAGCAGCTGCTGTCACGCCCACGTGTGCAAAACGGGTGGGTGGCCAAAGGGACAAAATGCCTCCCCTTCCTCAGCTGCAGGGTGTGTCCTCCGACACCTCCAGCCATGGGAGGCCCAGCTCTAGTGATCATGGTCACAGAGCGTGGCTGTGACCAGGGCACGGGACCTCAGGGCTCCAAGGGTCCCCCTGTGGCATAGGAGAAACGTGGTGTAGCATGGAATAAGCCCGATTGCAGCTTGAGTTCTAATCCCCAAAGGACGCCCTGGGGGAGCTCCTGGGCAGCACCCCTCTTTGTCTGCACTGCCAGCCCCCGGAGCTGCAGGGAGCTCACAGCATGTCAGCACTGCCTCCTGTTCCACCGGTGCTGGGTGTCCTGGGGACAGGAGAGAGAGCCTGGCAGGGCTGGGAGGACAGGATGGCTGCCTCCCCTTGCGGTTACCATGTCACATGCAGCGGAAGAGGAGACAGGGCTGATTTTGTGGGAACTGGTGACAAGGTGTCATGGCAGAGGCCAGGGCGAAGAATTGTGATGCTCTGGTTTGGTGCTGTTTCATGTAGTTCTTTAAATTTTTATGAATGAGGTTTCTATCCCTATTTATATTCTAAAACGACGGTCTTTTTTTTTTCTCCAATATTTGATATCACTACCCTCCATTTAAAAAATCAAACAAAATGAAAAGAACAGCAACAACAAAGAAGAGTTTAAAGTAGAACAGCAATTTCAAACCTGACTGCAAAGAGACAGACAGGCACTTCCCCTCCCCACGGTGTTAAGGAGATGCAGATGGGGTCGTCATGATGGCCCAGTCCTGTGCCCGTCTCAGCCCCTTTTCTGTGTCCCTGTTTTTTTCTGCTGTGAGGGACAGGTGGCACCCACTGGCCCCTCTCACCTGCTCGCACCTGCCTAGGGTTCTGGGGTATGGCCTGCCACAGCCTGTCACAAGCCCCACAGAGAACCATGGTCTCCCTTTCTGTAGGGAGCAGCTTTTACCACGTGAGCCCAATGGTTCCTGGCATCTCTGATGTTTGGCACACTGTGAGGAAAGGCACCAGGGACACCCTCAGCTGGCCTTGCTGAGCTCTGGGCTTCGACTGCAGCAGCAAGCTTCCTCAGAGCTGTGTTTTCAGTCTCAAACATCAAGGCTCTGCCCACACAGCTGACAGATCACCCCCGAATACATGGCCCACCTGGGGTCTGCTTTAGTGGGGGCCCAGGCCCATTCCCTCACTTCTCAGGTCAGCAGGCTCCCTGGCCACACCACCTACTCCTTCCAACTCAGCCAAAGAGCTCTGATCAGCTCTGCCTCCACTTCTCAAACCATTCTTCCTGTTTCTCCAGGGAGATGCAAATTCAGGTGACAACAGACATACCCTTCCACCGCACCCCAAGGCTCCTTACCAGTTCACCATCAAGGCAGCTTCATTCTCAGCAATGAACGGGAGGTCCCCCTGGGCCTCCCACACAGCCAGGCAGATCCAGAGAAGGCACTGGGGCATGGCCAAGGAAATGCCCCAGCTCCCTGGCAGGCAGAAGGCAGGGCCTGCCAGGACACTCGGCCTCCTGTGGCTGCTGGGCCAAGGAAAGCCTGTGGGGAGTGGTCGCCTGCTCCTGGGAGCCCTCCCTGCCTGGGACATGGGGCGAAAGCCCTCCACCCGCCACAGGGCTGTGTGATCCTGAGTTACATCCGCAGAGGCTAAATCCTGAAATCCTGATGGCAGTGGCAGCGAGGGGGGCAGGTGGAGAGAGGCACAGATGGTGACCGAGGGGATTAAGAAAACACACAAATCTGATTTGCCCAGGAAAAGCGTCACCAGCAAAGGCTCTTCAGAGGCCGGAGGTCCCAAGAATTACTCATAAAATGACCGTGAAGGAATCCATGCACCCTCCATCGTCTCCTTCCTTCATTAACCATATGGATAAATACTTGTCCACCGGGAAGGTGGCGAAAGGCCAGGCTGGGGACTCCTCTGACAGGGACAGTGGGACTTCAGGTGATTGACTAAGCTTGCTCATTTGCAGGTGAATACACCATCATGACAGCTCACTTCCACCTGAAGAGGAAGATCGGTTACTTCGTCATCCAGACCTACCTGCCCTGCATAATGACCGTGATCTTGTCGCAGGTCTCCTTCTGGTTGAACCGGGAATCCGTACCAGCCAGGACAGTGTTCGGTGAGTGTCCCCAGCCAGGCCTGGCCTGGTGCTGCTGATCACCCCCAAGAGCAGCAGCCTCTACACCCTGCGTGCTGCCTGCCTGCTCTGTGACCTGTAGAACAAAGGGACAGTTAGGAACTCACTGTCAAGAGTGGGGCTGGCCCTTGGAGCACGGTTAGGGGACCACACACATCTGGTTGGTCATTGTTTCTGGTTTGAAAAGCCTTTCGCTGGTAGCCTTTTTTTTGAGGTTTGAAATTGCCAGCAATTCATCTCATGTGAGATTTTGCTACAGTATTTTCACAAAGTTGTATTTTGTATGTTATTGGGCAGTTTTCTTTGCAATGTGCATTTGCCACTTTAACCCACAAGGGGCAGTCAGTGTCACATGTGATATGACCGTAATCAATTATATATAAGATGTCTTATCACATATGTGCACATATTATACACATATTTATACATGTGTAGGCGACACGCACATACCTACATATCCTTGACGAGAACCTAGAACAATGTCATTCGGCGTCACTGAGACATAAATTAAGTTTAGCTCAGCAGGTGCCTTGGCTCAGCAGGTGTTTCAAGCGCTTGACTTTCCCCTTGAGGCTCTGTTTCCTCAAATTCCAGTAGTGACACTGAAGGCAGCTTTGCAGGTCAGTCGTGGTGACAGATGGTGACATCTTTTTAACTGTAAAGCGCAGCTCCTGCCTCAGCTCTTCCTACTGCACTTTCCAAAGAAGAAAACCGCCACCTGCATTTTGTGGGCAACGATCTCTGTCGCACCAACCTCACCTGATTAAGCTTCGGGATGTTCGGGGCAGCGCGGAGCTCCCCAGCTCTCCACGGGAATATCAGTGGGCAGGCAGGGGGAAAGCTAGCATGGAGAATGCTGCTTATGATAGCCGGTTTCCTCTGGGAAATTCTCAATGCCCAGTGGGAGGTGAAGGACCCGAGAAGACACGGGAAGCCAGTGCAAAGTCAGGCACACACTTCTTCCTGGCACAGTGATTAGCTGCGTTTCTAAGAAAAATCAGCGATGCATACTGATCTGTCATTAAGCTTAGTTCCGTGCATGGTACCACATTCAGTGAGTACCTTTGAAGGACAACCCTGGGTGAAAATGAAGCTGCTATGACCACCACTGACGTCACTCTTCTGGTGCTGTGTTGGTTCCTTAGGGCTGCTGTAGCAAAGAGCCATGCACGGGGGGCAGGGACTTAACAGAAATTAACCGTCTCGTAGCTCTGCAGGCTACAAGTCCACCATCGGGTCAGCAGGGCTGTTTCCGTCCAAGGGCTGTGAGCAAGGGGTCCGCTCCAGGCCTCTGGCCCACTTCTGGTAGCTCCTTGTCCCGTCTTCACCTGGTCTTCTCCCTGTGTGGGTGACTGCGACACCAGTTATACTGGAGTAGGGCCCGCCCTAACGACCTCGTTGTAACTTGATTACTTCTATAGAGACTGTATTTCCAGGTCAGGTCACATTTTGAGGTTCTGGAGGTTAGAACATCAATGTATAAATTTGGGGAGACACAGTCCAACCCCGAGCAGGTGTGCTGCTGCCTCATGCAGACGAAACCGTGGTGAGAAGGAAGGCACAACACATGGGCTGGACGGGACCTGCAGACCTGGGGCTGGATGTGGCTTCTCACTTGCTAGCTGATGAATTTGGGTCCATTGCTAACTATTTTAAGTCTTTAAGCTTCTCCCCTACAAAATGGGAATAATGACACCCACGCAGAACGCAGCTTAGATCAGGGTCTGGCACTTCATCGGTGCCCTGTAGGTGGTTTCGCTCCTGTCAGTCCTAGACCAATGTCACCCTCTGAGGTCTGGCTTGCTGCATGGTCCCTGTGGGTTTCCCAGCAACCGAGGCTGATGGTCACGGGTGCCCAGACATAGTGCATTGATGGCCCTCGGGCTCCAGGAACCCACAGGATGGCTTAGTCCACATGACACTCAGTCTATGTCATCATCCTGCCTCAACGCCATGACTTGTAACATGCACAGTAAACCTTTGTGAAGCTCTTCACTGGGCACTGTGAGCGTCCCTGCCTTGTCTCACTTGGATGTCACCCCAGAGCCCAGAAGAAACACCACTGCTTGTGCATGTCTTCGTGGAGCGCCAGCTATTGGCTGGACTCGCTCAGGCCATGGGGATACACTTAGTGGGTGTGTACCATTCAGACCCCAATCTCTGCACTCCTCGATTTATATCCCAGAGGAAGGAGACAACCTATAAGACAACTAAAATAAGCAGTGTTTTAAATGCTATGGACGTGTCACGTGTTATTGGGACTGCAGAGAGGGAGGGGGGTCTGGGCTGGGGACAAAGGGACCAGTGCCTTTCCTGTCCTTGTCTGTGGTGTTTGGGGTGTCCTGTGGGGTCCGGGGATCCTCACTGATCCCCATCTCCACTCTCCCTGCCCCCCTGCACCCTCCCCAGGGGTCACCACAGTGCTGACCATGACGACACTCAGCATCAGTGCCCGGAATTCCCTGCCCAAAGTGGCCTACGCGACGGCCATGGACTGGTTCATTGCCGTGTGCTACGCGTTCGTGTTCTCCGCACTCATTGAGTTTGCCGCCGTCAACTACTTCACAAAGCGAGGCTGGGCCTGGGACGGCAAGAAAGCCCTGGAGGCTGCCAAGGTCAAGGTACTAACTCCATTTCCTCTGTGCTCCATCCTTTCAGATTCTCTTCACTGGGAAAATGTGCCCAACTCTGTGTCAATATAGAGGCACCGTGTTTGTCCTCGCTCCCTCCCTTCCTCCCTTTCTCCATCCTTTCTCTCTCCTTCTCTCCCTCCTTCCCTCCTTTCCCCCGTCCTTCCCTCCGCCCTTCTCCCTCCTTCTCTCCTTCCCTGCCTCCCTATGACGAAATGTCCCCTCCCTTGTGTTCAGGGTCCTCACAGAGCCTTCCTGCAGCAAGTCCAGTTGCACCTGTGCTTTGAGGCACCAGCGAGATGGAAGCCAATGGCTGGGCCCTGTTTATGCTCAGGCCTGTGAACTTGGCTCCAGGAGCTCCTGTGTGGCCACATCTCAGTCCTGCGTCCATTTTCCTGTCCACTCTGTACCATGTGTCCATGTGGAGTGTCTTCCCAAGGTGGCTTTAAGGTCGTGCAGAGAGCACATGACAGGGTGGGAGAGCATGACCCTGAGCAGGTGGCCTGGCTCGCCCGCCTGGCATCCTGGAGCAATGGTGCAAAGCGTTATTCTCTTCAAGGTGATAATCATTGAGTATATAGAGGGTGGTGGGTGCCTGAATTTAAGGAATATTCGAAAGAAAAGGTTGCACAGCATTGTAGAACAAGCCACATCCGGGGGGAGCTGAGAATAACACACACATGGGACCGAAAATAGAGCAGTACATGGCCAACTGGACGACACCACACCTGAAACAAATAAGCAAACCCTGCACTATGAGAGAAGAGCAGATTATCACGGTAGATCCGAAAGTAAAACTTAATCTGTCCTGTGAGAATCCAGCTGGGAAGGAGTCTGAGAAACCATGACAAAGGACAGGACGGCTATGTCCTGACCCCCAGCCAGGCCACAAGCCAGTGACGGCATCCAGCCTGGCTGTTTCTGCTCAGGCCACTCAGCTCTATCTCGACAGCCCCTTGCTTGCTTTCTGCATGGAACACTGCTGTTTCCTTTGCTGTGAAAAGTCAGAGGTTCTGACGTGACGTGGCGCATGTCACCCTTCCCACCTCCGAGCGCCACGAGTTCCTCCCACACTCAGGTTTCAGTCATGGAAGACCCACTTCCGAGTCCCGCTCGCCCAGTTGGAGGAAGGCCTGCGGGACCCACCCTGGGCCCTCTTGGAGACAAGAGTGAGGAGGGTCTTCCCAAGCAGAAACCTTGGGAGTGGCTGTGTTTTGGGGGGTGGGGTTGAGAGAAAACAGGAGTCAGTGACCGCAATGGACAACTGGTGGGGACCTGGGAAAACATTGTAGAGACAGGGTGTCCTCAGCCTGTAGGGGTTCTGACTGCAGTATGCAGACTTGATCGGGTGGACAGAAGGAGCCATGGAGGATGTTTGTGGGGGAGGAACAAGAATGGAGTCTGGGGACATGGGGCATTCCAACACCCAGCACCCTGTGCCAGGAGGTAAATGTTTGCTAAGGGCCTGGGTCTTGGGTGACCTGGGGACAGCCACACGTGAAGTGGTGGAGCAGACTAGAGCCCACTGCAGGAACTGAGGCCAGCAGGCTCTGTCTATGACTCTAGGAGGAAGGTGAAACCTGGAGGTCAATGGAGGGCCCCAAATGTCCCCTGGTTTCGTCACACTCGGCCCCACTGTGGGCACAACCTGCCATAGATCTGAGCAGAGACCTGCAGGGAGAGAAGGGGTGAAAGTCTCATGGATTAAGTCTGATCCCGGATTAGCAGTGATCTTCTAGAATAATCAGTGTACCTCAATAAATCTTATAAAACTTCAAGAGTAAGTGTCGTTCCAGAAGGCGGGGGGTCCCACCCCTTGGGGCAGAAAGGCTCCATGCGGGAGAACTATGACATCGGGCAGGCACATCCCATGAGACGTGCTACTGCATGTGAATGAGTAAGTGTGGTGATCCCCCGCTCACGGACACCACTCCTTACAAGGACAGAGCGCTGGCAAGACACACTGTGTCCACTGTTTTTCCATGTTGGCATCTCTAGAAGTAAACACCAGGTCTGAGTTTGGGGTGCAAGGTAGTTTTTATGGGTAAGAAGCTGTGAAAGGACAGAGGAGGAAGCGAGATTTGGTGGAGGAAGGAGTTGAAATTGAAATGGAGGAAGTTGGGCCACGTCCCCAGGATGTCCCCAGAATGTTCTCAGGATGACCCCAGGATGACCCCAGGATGTCCCCAGGATGTCCCTAGGATGTTCCAAAATGTCCCCAGGATGTTCCAAGATGTTCCCAGGACATCCCCAGGAAGTCCCCAGGATGTCCCCAGCCCTGCAACAGTACTGAGTTCTGGGCTGCTGCTTGTCCTTTAAGTGAGACCCATGCTGTGAAGAGAGATCAGTCTGCTCCTTTGCTGGTTATACCAAGAGATGTAAGAGTGAGACAGCCATGTTTATGGTTTCTTGTCGCAGGCTCTCACGCAGCCCCAGCAGATCCGAGGGTGGCCTCCAGGTGCCTGCTCTGGCCTGAGGACAGCGGTCCTCGTGCATGTGGTTTCACATTTACTTGAGCTTTCTTCTCACCTGCTTCCTCTTGCTTGAGGCTCTTCCTTTCTGTTTTTTATGTTTCTCAGTTTTAATGGTTGACTTCTTTTCTTTTTCTTGTTTTTTCCAAGTATAGTCATCAGGCTGTACATTACGTCCCCAGGACTTATTTATTTTTTAATTGGAAGTTTGTACCTTTTGAACCCCTTCACCCATTTGCCCACATCCCAACCCCCATTTCTGGCAACCACCAATCCATTCTCTGTACCTACGAGTTTACATGGTTTTTTTTTGTCTTTTTTGTTTTGTATATTTCACATATAAGTGAGGTGATTCAGTGTTTGTCTTTCTCTGTCTGACTAACTTGACTTAGAATAATGCCCTCAAGGTCCATCCATGTTGTTTCAGTGGCAGGAACTGCTCTTTTTTTGATGGCCAAGTACTCCATTGTGTATATGTACCACCTTTTCTGTATCCATTCATCCATGGTTGGACACCAGGCTGTTTCCATGTCTTGGCTCTTGTAAACAATGCTGCAATGAACATGGGGTGCCTATGTCTTTTCCAGATAGTGATATATTTTCTTTAATTTACTCTCCTGTGTTTTCCAAATTTTATTTAATGAGACTGTATTACTTGGGTAATGGAACAGAATTTTTTCCAACACTTTATTATACAAATTTTCAAACATACAGCGATGTTTAAAGAATTTTACAGTGAAAACCTGTCTACCATTGACATTTTACTATGTATTATCACCATCTGTCATCTGTCATCTATCTATCTATCTACCTATCTATTTATCTATCATCTATCTATCTTCTATCCATCCATGCATCCATGCATCCACCCAGCCTCAATCCATCTATCAATCCATCTTATTTTGTGATGCATTTGAAAGTAAATTTCAGAGAACAGTACATTTCCCACTAAATATTTTAGCATGGAGGTCATTAACTAGAGTTCAGTATTTGTTTACTGTTTGATTCTTTCAAAGCAAAATTTACAGAGTGTGAAAAGTGCAAATACTAAGGGTACCTTTGAATAAACACGTTCCCCTCTGTAACCAAGCCACTATCATGACAGAGAACATCACCAGCATTCTAGAACGTTCACCACGCCACTTCCCAGGCAATTCCCATCCCCACCTCGACAAATGTAATGGCCATTCTGAATGTTTCCACCATCACTTACTCTGCCTGTGGTAGCCATTCACATCCATGGCTGGCCATGTGGGGTCTGCCTGCTGCCAGGGCTGAGCTGATGCTTCTCTCTTTTGAGAGCTAAACCTTCAGAACCTTTAGAAGTGAACTGACCCTTGCCTGCAAATGTCATGCCCTTACATTCTTATTATATTTTGCAGAAAAAGGAGCGTGAACTCATACTAAATAAGTCAACAAATGCTTACACTACCGGGAAGATGTCCCATCCCCCCAACATCCCAAAGGAGCAGACCCCCGCAGGGGCCTCCAATGCTTCCTCAGGCTCAGTAAGATCTTCCGAAGAGAAGACCCCTGAAAACAAAAAGACTTACAACAGCATCAGCAAGATTGACAAAATGTCCCGAATTGTGTTTCCAGTCTTGTTTGGCACTTTCAACCTAGTTTACTGGGCAACATATTTGAATAGGGAGCCAGTGATTAAAGGGGCGGCCTCTCCGAAATGACCCGCTGTGCTCCCTGACGCCAGCAGAGACGTCCTCCCGTGAAATGGAGCCCCGAGGGATGGCCCATCCCTGGGCACTGTCTTTCAGGAAATTTTTGCATGTTTAATAATATGTACAAATAATATTGCCTTGATGTTTCTACATAGGATGTCAGATGTTTCAAAGATGTCACATTGATAAAGCCAATAACTTTCTAGAACAACAGAAAACAATGGCTCTGACACTCAGATGATCAATATCTCACACTGATAGTTTACAAACAAGATAAGTATATTTTTAACTGTTCCAAGTGTTACCTAACAGTGTTTTTTATACTTCAAATGTCATTTCATACGAAATTTCCCAGCAAAGAAATATTTTAGGAAATGCTCCGTGATTATTACTTGACCAACTCTCGCCAGGAACAAAGATCACAAAGAGCACGTTTTGCATCAACAAGGAAACTGTGGGCATTTATGTACAAAACAAATTGCCTCTAATAACCCTGACTGTTCAGAAACTAGAGAGTCCTGCATGAGCTTGCTTTAAGAAATAGAATAGGCAAACATGTATGCAGAAAAATCTAATAACAGATACATGTGGTATGTTAGATTAACAGATCAAATATTTCCCCAAGGAAAAATTCAACTGCTTAAAAGTCTCTTTTTGGAGAGGGAGCAGAATAAACTTCTTTCTCTCCCCCCCAACCCCCACCCCCTGCTCCACTAACTGAACAATGACTAAGAAAGAAAAGAACAAGTGGTGTGATGACCGTGTTAGTGTTTGGCCAGTGCGTTCTGCATTCACCGTCCAAAACCTTGACCATCTTTTGCTGCAGCCAGTGTGTGTCAGTGGTGACAAACTGTGATTGAGTTATTTTCCATTTTATCTCCTTGTACGTACTTCACGATTGACCTCCTGCTCTCTTAGCTTTTGTAAATGATCCCTAAATGTTCATTAAAAAAATTAAAAAAAATGAACTGATCTTGTGGAGAAATGTCATTTGGGGGGAAAAACTCATATTTAGGTGGACTCATGAAAATGACACAAAGGACATCCAGGATGAAATTGCTTGGGAGATGACCTCTTATGTGGCAGCTCACCTCTGTTCCAGCCTAACTCCCCGGAGTGGCGTGTGGGGCGAAGTCTCATTTCACCCACAGTGAGGGTGAGGATGTGAAAGCAGCTCTTCCCCATCCATCATTTGCTGTGGCACCATCCCCGAAGTTCTGTACTTGATGGAACCCTCCCTGAATGTGTTCCCAAGGTGGGTGCTTGGCGTGGGCATGATGACTGCTCAGTCCTCACTCATGCCTGCCTTTTTCTTTTTGTAATGCAAAGTGATGCAAAGTGATGCATTTGGTGGAAGGACATACCCAGGGACAACATGTATGAAAGGGACACTTTCTGCCTCCTCTGTGACTCGCAGGGAATTCCAGGAGTGTTCGTCTGACTGTTATAAACAGTACCAACATTAGGTCTGCTTGAGATGACTATCTAATGGTGCCTGGTTCTTTAATACCCATCCACCTCCCTGTGCTTGGTAGGCCAGACACGGCCACAGCCATGGTCACACAGGTAGGTACTCAGCAGTGTCTTTCATCTTGAAGAACCACGTAAATGCCTATGGTATCCATTCACTGAAAATCCCAAGTTTATCCAGAAAAACCTTTTCAGGATTCAAGGTCAGTTCTCGTATTTTATCAGAGCAGCATGAGATCCAAAGAACTGACATTCTTCTAAAGGACAGGTGCCCATATCTCGGCATCCCTGCTCCATTACAAGGGCAGAGATTCCACCAGCCATGGAGGGAAAGGTGAACAGAAAGGGTGCTCAGAAATCTTCACACAGAAGCATTTCTCTACCACAAATGGTGCTGCATTTGTGGAATAACGTGTGTGCTATCTGTAATCCCACAGCATAAAATTTGCCAAAACAAAGGGCAAACCCAAGACCCAGTAGGGAAGCTTGTGTTTTCACTTACTGTCTAGTGACAGTTCTCTTGGGTCTTTACAGTTTAGCTTTGCATTGTAGTTTAGAGAACAGTATACTGTGAGTTAGGTCTAAATGAATGCACATGCAAACATTCACTTTAAACATCCGAGTCCTAACAGAAAACGATGTCTGTCATATCAGGTAAAAATGATTTTCTTAACAAATTCTCAGCTTTGTTACTGAAAACCCTAGAAGTCCCTCTGAGGGAATTCCAATGTAAAGATGTGCCCCCTGTATTTCCTTGCTCTGCTCATTCTTAAATCCGATGAATATTTAGTAAAAAAGATCACATGTTTTTGCTCTCTCGTTCTATATTGTAGATATTCAGTGTTTGATATTTTTAATGAACACATAATAAACAATCACCTTGGGAAAATGGTAACAGGGCAAGAAATAAAATTATAAAGTACAGTGCCCTACTTTTAGAACTGTGGAATTTAAATGTATCTTTTGCCATAACCATAAATAGAAAAAATATTCTAATAAGTCAGCAATCAGTATTCTCAGGAATCTATGTGTCTATCTAGGGCAAGCTTTGGCTGAAGTTGGCCTAAATGCTTGTATACAATAATTGGGTTGAAATGCTTCTACATAGCTGTCAAAGTTAAAATAGTACAGCAAACACCCCTGTTGAAGACTGACAAGGAGGTTGTAAGTCTGACTGACTTGTTATGTTAGCACCTTAGAAATAGTTCCCTCTGTCTCCTATGGGAGAAGCTGTGGGGAATGCATACAGTAAATTAGAAATCTCTATTTTACAAATAAGGATGTTGAAACCCAGAGAGGTTAATCCCTTGGCTCAAATCATATCACACACTAGGGGAAAAGGCAGGTGGAGATTTCTTTTCTCATATTTCCTAACTGGGTTCACAATATCACGCAATTGCTTCCAGGTGGAATTTGAGAACAAAAAAACTGTAACCTAAAATGGAAAATCTTGTTTGAAGCCCTGGTTGAATTATTATATTCATATATTAAGAATGTCCTCAAAAATTTCTTTTCATTGAAAACATGACCTTTAAGTCTGTTCCTTCTTATGTAAAAATTCTGTGCTTCTGTGATAGAAGAGATTCCTCTTGATAGAATGGACTTGGGGGTAGCACTGTCCATCAAGGGAGAGAGAGAGAGAGAGAGAGAGAGCGCGCGCGCGCGTGCGCGTGCCAGGTGGGAATGGGTGGGGGGAGGGAGGGGAGGGGAGGGGAGAGAGAAACCCGGATCCAGGTATCTTGATGTGATTGGAATTGGAAATGTCTTAATTCTTTCAAGGAAAACAGTATTTTGAATATTTAAAAATTAGTCTTGATGTCTTTTTTCACAATGCTAACACATCTGGGCCAGTCAATGCCATGAGCCAACACAGTGAGTATCTGAATATGAAGCAGTCTGATCCTTGCAATAGCTTGGTCGTGAGACTACTGGGCAATGATGGAGGTAGCCGAGGAAAGTGGCTGACTGGTATCCCAAGAAAGGGTCAGTCTGTTCACTTCGTTATTAAAATCCATCAATTCTGAGGTCTTCTCTTGGTGAGCACTCGCATGGCACATAGATGTTTTCCTTCTGTGAACATATGGAAAGGTCTATCCACCTATTCCTTCCCAGGCCACCTCGTCACCAATATTCCAATGTGTCCCCTTCCAGTTTCTGACCATCCTTCCACAGCCCATGAAATAGACAGACTCACACCTCTGGACATCTTTCTTTGTAGGCACAATAGACAGCCATGTGTAGGGTCTGAGGCTCTGTCCACTGAAAGGATTTCCCTTTGTCCCTGCCCTTCAGGGGTGTCCCAGAGTGAGGTCACAATGCTTCTGCTGTCTGCTTTCAGGTGGTGCCTGCATTCTGTGAGGAAGCATCTGAAAACCAGGCTGGAGTTTTTCCTCTAACCACTGGTCCTAGGGAACTCTCCAGGAGGCCATAGCTGTGGCCAAGAGAAAGAATGTGATGTGGTAAGAGAGGACCACTTGGAAGGGAAAGGCAATCAAGGTTTCTGTGGACAAATTGTGACCCAGTCAAAGAGTTGGCATGATTGTCTCAAGGTCCATTCATGTTGTTGCAAATGGCAGTATTTCATCTTTCATATGGCTGAGTAATATTCCATTGTGTATATGTACCACCTTTTCTTCATCTAAGTGAAATAAGTCAGAAAAAGTCCAAGAACCATATGATTTCACTCCTACATGGGATATAAAACTGAAAACAACAAACAAACAAAAACTCATAGACACAGACAACACAGTGTGGTGGTGACCAGAGGGTAAAGGGAAGGGGGGTGGTAGAAGAGGGTAAAGGGGGTCAAATACATGGTGATGGAAGGAGAACTGACTTGGTGGTAAGCACATGATGTGATATATAGATGATGTATTATAGAATTGTACATTTGAAACCTATGTAACTTTACTAACCAATGTCACCCCAATACATTTAGTTAAGAAAGAGTTGGTATACCAGGGGTTCAGGAAAGGGTGGAGGTGGGAGTGAGTGGGTGTGGCTGTAAAGGGTGATGGTGGGCATCCTAGTGGTGATGGATGTGTTCCGTGTCTCCACTGTGTCAGTGTCAATATCTTGGCTGTGATATTATACCATAGTTTTGTAAATTGTTACCTTTGGAGGGAACTTAGTAAAGAGCACATGGGATTTATCTGTATTATTTTTTTTACAAATTCATGTGTATCTACAATTATATAAAAATTTTTAAAAATTAACAAGAAACTACAATGGTTTTCAAAATTAAAAGAAATGCAGAGAATACACATATAAGTGAGATCATATGGTATTTATCTTTCTCTGTCTGACTTGTTTCACCTAGCATAATGTTCTTTAGGTCCATCCATATCATTGCAAATGGTAAGATTTCATTTTTTAAACAGAAACAGTCTCAGAGATATAGAGAAAAACATAAGGGTTGCTAGATGGGATGGGGGTGGGGATAAGGGAGAAGGGGAGGGGATTTGAAAGCACAAGTTGGTAGTCACGATATTGCCACAGGGATATGAAAGACAGTTTGGGGGATATAATCAATAATGTAAAGATTTTGTAGGGTGTCAGATGGGCACATGTCTTCTTAGGGAGACCGTTCCATGGACAGTGTGGATGCCTGACCACTGTGCTGTACACCTGAAGCTGAATAATATTGAATGTCAACTATAATTTTATATATATATATATATATATATATATATATATATATATAGTCACAGGATGTGGATTACAGTGTAGGGTATAGAGTCAATGGAATTGTAACAGCTATATATGCTGTCAGAGGGAGGAGGGGGTTATCACTTTGTGAGGGGTGTAAATGTCTAACTATTACATTGTTTTGTACACTTGAAACCAATAATAAAAAAAAGAAATGCTGCAAAAAGAAGACCAAATGGAAGTGAAATTGGTACCTCTTTTCTCCATAGCATAAGAGAAACCAGAGGATAATAACAGCTAAGAGAAAATAACTTTCAACTTGCAATTCTATACCCAGGATAACTACATTATAAGAAAGAGAATACAGCGGAGACATCTTATGGTTAATAAAGTTTGAGGTTTTTAATGCCAAATGAGCCACACTAAAGGAAAATCTAGGAAATGGAAAAAGATCCTGGAAGGAAGTTGAGACATGAGAGAGAAATGTGAGCAAAAATGTCACAAAGGTTGCTAACTCTAGACTCACACTGAACATACAAACACTGCCAAATGTGTGGGAAGAAAATCGAGAAAGTCCTGGACGACTATATCTTGTGATGTGGCAGGAAGAGGGTGTTTGATTAGTGTTACGATATCCTATGTGCTTATTTATTTTTTTTTAAAGATTTCATTGGGGAGTTGGAGGAGGGGAACAGACAAGTTGCTGTCGTTTTGTTCTTCAGTCTAGTTGTGGAGGGCGTCGCTTCACTGGCCCATGTTGGTATTATCATTGCGTCTTCCCGGGTGAGGCAGATCGGTTGCCAGCCATTGGATGGCCGCTCATGCTGGCAGCTGGCCAC